TGAGTGAGGTGCATCTCTCCTGCGTCACGCCCCCTCTGAGTGAGTGAGGTGCACCCCTCCCGCGTCACGCCCCCTCTGAGTGAGTGAGGTGCACCCCTCCCGCGTCATGCCCCTCTGAGTGAGTGAGGTGCACCCCTCCCGCGTCACGCCCCCTCTGAGTGAGTGAGGTGCACCCCTCCCGCGTCATCCCCCTCTGAGTGAGTGAGGTGCATCTCTCCCGCGTCATGCCCCTCTGAGTGAGTGAGGTGCACCCCTCCCGCGTCATCCCCCTCTGAGTGAGTGAGGTGCACCCCTCCCGCGTCATGCCCCTCTGAGTGAGTGAGGTGCACCCCTCCCGCGTCATGCCCCTGTGCTGCGGCGCGGCCTTCACCTGGACAGAACCAGGAATCTGGCCTGGCAGGGAGAAGGGCCTTTGGTGTTGTGATCACGACGTTCACATGGAGAACATAAAGCGGTGTCTGAAGCCACTAAATACCGCTTATAGACTTTAGTGGTAAGTTGCAGGACCCCTCATGACAAAGAAGTCAGCTCTTCTTGTTGTTGGTGTTAGTGAGCTTTTATTCACTTTCCCCAGCTTAGCAGGCACCATGAACTCCTGGCTGGCCTGCTCCTTCTCCCCTCAGTCCTGTGGGGGCAGGGCTCACCCCGGGGGAGCCTCAAGCTTTGGAAACCCGCTCTTTGTTTTTGTCATTTTTCAAATTAGCAAATATTAATGGTATAAAGAGATTTTATTGTGATATTCCATACTGTATATAATGCACTGTGATTAAATTCACCCCTGCTGTTACTCTTCCTTCTTCTACCTTATCATTTTTTAATGGGTTTCATTATTCTGTTTGAATACAGGCAGGAAAAGCTTTCCTGTCTTTTCTTTTTCTCTCCTTTTCTGGTGTCTGTAGCTCCCTGGAACTCAAGAGCCAGTCTTGGGCGGTTCATTGAACCTCTTTCCTGGCTGAGCCGCCTCCTGTCCCTGAGCCCTGGCCAGGAAGCTTCTGTGGATGGCTCCCTGGATCCACAGGAAGGCGCTTCCTGTGCCCCAGGGGGGCTGAGAGCAGCCAAAGCTGACACTTGAGGCTCGGGAGTTGTCCTGTCCTCCTCCCCCACCACAAAATGCCCCCAGCTGGTTACTTACATTGTGCGTCATGCTCTGATTACTCATTAGTTCTGGGATTGTTCTGTCTGGTCAGTTTTTCAGATACTCTACACATTGTCTTAGGGTTTTTCCTCATCTTCACCTATGCATCTTGCCTGTCAGTTCCGTCCTCCTCCTCAGTTCTTAGGTTGACCTGTGGCCTCAGTGCCATTCAGAATGAAATCCCAATAAACACTTTGTTAGAAACTCACCTTCTGTGGAAAATTGCTAGGTTTACTGCTTCCCTGGGCTCTCCTTCCCATACAGCTTTTTGTGCAGTCCTTCCATGGTACCTCGGCAGAAGACTCTATTGTCAACTTAGTCGTCTCTCTTGATCTCTACAGGAAGGATGTTCTCTTTCTACTTAGAGTACTGCTTAACCTCAGTCTTTGACTCTTTTTTTTTTTTTTTGAGAACAGGGTCTCGCTGTGTAGCTCAGGCTGATCTGGAACTTGTCCTTCTCTCTCAGCCGTCTGAGTGCTGAGAGATTATAAGTGTATGCCACCATGCCAGGCCTGATCTTACTTCAGAGATGACCTGCAGGCTTCTTATCCATTATTCTCCTTATCTGCAATCTCCTGCTTATATTGCCTCTCCGTCCTCCTTACTCATAGTTTTTTCTGTTTTACTGAGAAAATAGAAATGATCAGAGGATAAGCTGGCTACAGTGACACATATGTACCTCCTAGGAGGCTGAAGCAGGAAGATTGGGAGCTAGAAGCTAATCTGGGTTATGTGTCCAAACCCTGTTACTCCTGTCACAAATAGAATGACTCAAACATTAAACAATGAACCTCTCACCCCCTCCTTAATGAAATGCCTCAGACGCTTATGGAGTGGTGTACTGATCATACTGGAAACTAGCCTGGAGGCCGGTCTCTAGGACTCTTTGGATCTGCACTTGGGCTCTGTCGGCCCCTCTGTTGAGAGGGTGAGCCGTCTGTCCAGAGCTGGCTGCTGCATGGTCTGCACCGGTGTCCAAGCCCCTGGGTCCACGCTTGTCCATCCTCTCCTGTAAGTCACCAGTTTGCTCCTTTCTGTTGGATTTTTCTCCTGTTTATATAGGTATAATTTTTCCTTCCTCAGAAGATCTCTCCCTCTGTTCTCCTGAGCCCTGTGGTGGCTCAGACCCCAGCACTTCTCAAACTGCTCCTTTTTCTCTGTGTTTACCTACACAGTGACCTCATTTACTCTTCCTTCCTTCCATTTGGTGCTGATAACATGTTTCTCCATCTAGACTTTTCTCCACAAACTCTAGAACTGTCTGTTGACTTGCCTATGCCACACTTCCTTCTTTTTTCTTCCTTACTTGGTGCTGGTACTGGAGCTTGAACTCAGGTCCTTAAGTTCTCACTTGGCTTTTTTGCTTATCGCTTGTGCTTTACTACTTGAGCCATGCTTCTGCTTACAGCTTTTTGCTGGTGAATGGGAGGTAAGAGCCTCACGGGTGGATCTGTCTGTGTGGGCTACCTTCAAGTGCAATCCAGTGGATCTCAGCTCTTGAGTAGCTAGAATTACATGTGGGAGCCACTGGCACCCAGCTTTCTCTTGTATTTTTAATAGATAACTTCAAACCAATCTCAGGCCAGATGTTTGATCTTTTGGTCTTTCAAATGGTCTCATAAATCTCCATTTCTCTTTTTGCGAACAGCATATACGCTTCTCCCATTTGTTGATAATGCCAGAGTATTGCCATCGCCTTTGATGTGTAGAGTCTGGCTCAGTGGTGGCGTGCTGGCCTGGCGTGCAGAAGGCTCCAGACAGGATCTGTTCTCCCCTCCTCAGCTTGCAACCAACTCCATGCGTTGTCCTCACCCACTCTCTGGCCCTGTGATCGGTTGTGGGGCCGCACACTCTGTGCAGAATCCCTTGTGGTTTTCAGCGTCCTTCAGTGGTTCATGGAACCTTTGCAGCGTGGCCCTTTCTCACTTCTGGCCTGCGTTACTCTCTGCTCCTGCACCAGGTTGACCCCTGGCTTCCAGTGACACCTGACCTCCCATCCTGGAACTTTCCTCTGCATTCTGCGCTCCGTCTCATGAAAAATGTAAGAAGTTTAAGTTGTGGTGTCCACAATACATTTTACTAGAACTCAGTCACATCATGTTCGTCTGTCTGTCCCCTGTGGCCATGTTTGTGATAAAAGGCAGGGTTGAGAAGTTGGGCAGAGGCTTTCTGGATGTCAGAGCCTGAAATGCTCACTGTAAGGCTCTTTGAAGAAACTATGTGCCCCTGTAGAGTAGATTGACTGATCCGGTCCTGGATGCCACGGGGAGGGGAATAGACTACGAAGCTGGAGCACGAAGTCTGAAAAGGAGGATTTCAGAATTTCCCTCCACTGTTTGTGGCAGGAGACAAAAGTTTTTCTTTTCTGGTTTTGATCGGTCCAAATGAATTAGTGAGCAAGGCAGTGTGGCTTTAAGTAACAAATCAGCAGTTGTTATTTTAATCTCTGAACTTGTGTGTGTTTCACTTAGTTTTTCTCGGCAACAGTGATTAAGCCACCTGTGCCATTGCTAATGAAACGGAAGGCATTAGAACCCCTCTAACACGCATGGGTCTTAGATGCCTCCTCGCAGGGACTAGCCGTCCACTTCCTTTTTGTGGGAGGCATCCCACTTGATGAGTTAACTGTAAATTGTGGGTTTGGACAGTACATTAGGCCTCGCTAACCTGTGACATATAATCAAAGGCAGTTTTCTTTAATTTTACTTGAACAAGACTTGCCAAGATTAAACCTATAGATGTGTTGAAACTTGAAGGAAACGAAATTCTACCTTTGGTGTAATTCAAAGGATTTTTTTTTTTTTTGGTAGTGTAACATTTCATTTATACGTTGTCTCTAGGGTATGCATTCCTATCTAATAGGAATGTCTAACAGTTGAATTTTAATTGTTCTCTGGAGTACTTTCTGACTTTTGTGGCTGAAGTAGCTAAGCCTTTTAAAGTCATTGTGACTTTTTTGTGACTTTGGTTAAGGCAGAAATAAAACAATCTTTCTTATTAACATTTGAGATAGGGAGTGACTGGCCCATCTTATCGAAGGCCCAGACAGAGATGAAAATAAGGTGCATTTGTGACCTGTGTTGCTTTTGGAGGGAGGTGTCCTTGGCTCTGGAAAGGAAGAGGCCCTGGGTAGAGGCTCTTCTATGTTATCAAGCAGTTCACTGCCAGTTTGGGGCTTCTGAGATCCAGCTTCATCAAGGATGAAATGTAGAATCCTGAGACTCTTAGAACAAGATGTGGTCTATGAGCCTTTTACGTTGTCCAACATGGCGATTTTCTTTCAGTGTTAGAACACATTGCTGTTTCTTTAGGTTATTGGCAGAATGAGGAAGTTGAATCGCTGCTTGATCTCTGGATGAGGAGCAGTGTAGGCACACTCCTGGCACGAGAGGCATGCAGGCGGAATGCCCTGAGAACTTACGTGTTCTCAGCGGAGAGCTGACATGCCTCTCCCCTCCCCGTTTTCAGGTGTAGTGGAGTACCTAGAAGTTGGGTGCAGGTGTGCTGGCCTTGTGGCACTTAGGCACGTCTGGGAGCAGGTGGTCTGGGTGCTTCAGCTAGAAGTGTGGCTTTGCCCTCAGTGGCCGAGGACGCCAGCTATTGCCTGCCTGCTGCCTGCCTCGCTCATTTGCTGACCCTTGGGAGGGTATTGCTGGCCTCAGGGGAGTCTGAAGGTTAAGAGGCGGATGAATGGGTTGTGAGAGGTGCCTGGCACGCAGTAGGCATGCAGTCTGCGCAGCTCATGTGTCTGTGTTGTAATTAAGGAGCCACCTCCCCAAAGAAGCAGGTAAGGGCATTTTCTGAATAGGACACTTAGCAATTACAGTCTGTTTTTGTGGCTTATAACAGCTTTATCCTCTTCCAGAGAAACAGCTCCCAGAACCATCTTCCAGAGAGTCCTGGATATCTTGAGGAAATCATCTCAGACCGTTGAACTGGCCTGCAGGGACTCATCCCAGGTGGAGCACCTGGCTTCCAGTCTGCAGTTAATAACTGAGTGCTTCAGATGCCTCCGGAACGCTTGCATTGAGTGCTCTCTGAACCAGAATTCCATCAGGTAGTCCTTCCTCCCTTCCCTCCCTCCCCCCTCCCTCCCCCTCCTCTCTCTCCCTGTCCCCTCCCTCTTGCTTTTGTCAGGAGTTGTTGGGTTTCTACCTCTGGGAGAAATGCTATACACGGGCACTTCAGGGGTGCTGAGACACGCACACGGCGCCCCGCGGAATGGGTGTTGACGGTGGAGGCCATTGTTTTTTATCTGTTTTATGAGGTGTTTTGAAGAATTGGATTCTGTTGGAAATAGTGTGGGATGTATTCCTCCTCTTCCGTCTTAAAACAATTTCAACAGGTTTCATTATTCTGTTCTCATACATACAAATAAACGACCTGGAGTGTATCCCTCTTCATTTATCCCCGCGAGCCTGCTGATGAAACTGTCTCAGGTGGAATGAAGAGCAGGCGGCAGGCAGGACGCTCACCTTGCTTTCCTCAGCCTGCGTGCTGGCTGCGCCCCAGGCCTCCCTGTCACTCTGTGACGGCTGAGGTGGGCCGTCCAGAGGCCACCTGAGGGACTGCCCGGGCTGCTTGAGACCGTCTGTACCTGAGGCTTTAATATGATTAATGGGATTTTTGAGATCAAAGGAAAGGAAGAAAAAAGCTACAGTAGTATAACATCAATGCTAAATCAAACCTGCCACCTGTTCGCAGAAAGTGAATGAAACAATGGTGATCTTGCTAGTCACAGGTCATATTTTTAAAGATAATGGGTTATGTCGGAGAATCTGGCTGGACGGCTAGTCTCTTTTGTCTGACGTGGTGGGGAGGGACAGGGAGCTTGGGGCAGAGGGCAGACTGGCCAGCCATGCTGTCTCCCTGCTGGTTGGCCTCAGTGGTGGAGGGTGCAAGTCTGGCACTCGATGGGGGCTGTGCTTGACTTACAGTGTCTTGTTTTAATCCTGAGAACAAACTGAAGACAGTGTGCTACTGGTTTTCCATTTTTACCAGTGAAGAAATTGACTCAGGGGGCTTGGTAACTTGTCTTAAAGTCAAGTCATCGGATCATTGAGGGTCCTGAATGTTTTTTCCAGCCCCAGACTGATGAGGTCTTCCTGTGGCTCTTCTGTCCTTAGGTAGTCATGCAACCTGGACGCAGATTCTAAGTCTCAGATACAAGGGTTCTCAGTGTCAGTTTTCTCTTTTTTACACAGGGTGAATAGCTCTTCCCTATGGGGTATTGGTGGGGGGCGGGGGTTGGTAGGTGAGATTGCATAGTCAAATGCCCAGAGGCTGGGGCACAGCTCTCGTGGCTCATGTAATCCTAGTGATTTAGAGGCTGAGATCTGGAGGATCATGGTTAAAGGCCATCTGGGCAGAAAAGTCCATGATATTCTTCTCTGCCAAATAATCAGCAAAAAGCTTGGCAGGTGTAGATGAAATGATAGAGTGCCAGCCATTGAGCATGCCCAGTGCCTGCTCCCTGGGTGGAGCGGGGGCAAAGTGTCAGCTTCTCCTCAGGCCGGCTGTTATTCTAGGTGCTGTCAAGGCAGACCTGTGGCAAAGTCTCAGCTGCCTCTCTGCATCGAAGTGAGCATGGTATGTGGTGTTTCACCTACTGCACGCTGCTTATGACCGGCACACACGAACTTTTAGAGATGTTTTTCTGCCCCTCATTTTCTGGGATTGTGTTTTTGTTTTTTTGTTCTTTGGTGATGCTACTGAGGTTTGAACTCAGGGCCTCATGTTTGCTAGACAGAGCCTGCCATTTAAGACCGGCCACTAGCTTTTTTTGTTGAGGTTATTTTTTTGACTGTCTTCCTATTTTTAGCCTATTGCATAGCTGGGTTCATAGATGTCCTTTTCTGTTGATATGGGATTTTATCAACTTTTTGCCTGCGCTGGCTTTAACCTGTGGTCTTCCTGGAGATCTCTGTGTTCTGGTCAGCTGAGATTAACCTGTGGTCTTCCTGATGTCTGTGTTCTGCTCAGCTGAGATTGCAGGCGTGAGCACTGCTGCAGGCCCCTGCTGCACTCACAGCTTCTGCACGTGTGTGCTTATCGCCCATCTCAAAGTTCCCCCCATCACAGCGGCCTTGTAGGATCCTTGCCTTTAGGAGTGAGTGCCGAGGCATAATTCTGGATCTTGTGGGAAGTGAAGAAGTCAGGGAGAGTTTGTTTTCTGTTGCTGTGTAATTACTACAAATTACCATAAACTTAGGCTTAAAGCATCAGGTAGTTTTTTTTTTTTTTCCTTTCCTTGAACTCAGGGCCTGGGCACTATCCCTGAGTCTCTCTGTGCTCAAGGCTAGAACTCTACCACTTGAGCCACAGCACCACTTCCAACTTTTTCTGTGGTAAGCATTCTCCCACTGGGCCACCTTCCCAGCCTGTGGTAGTTTTATCTTACAGCTGTGGATGTCCTGAGTTCAAAATCAGTCTTACCAGCCCAAAGTCAAACCGTAGTTAGGGGCAGTTCCTTCTGGTGGTTTGGGGAGAATTCCGTCCTTTGTCTTCTCCTGCTTCTTCAGGCCTTCTGTTTTCCTTGGCTCACGGCTCCTCCTGCAGAATTCACAGCAACCATGTGATATCTAGCAGCCTCTCTTTCTGATGCTGACCCTACTGTGTCCCTCCATTGCGTTACTGTGACCTTTATTGCATCAGGCAGTGTGGATCACCCAGGACAATGTCCTTGTCCCAGAACCACTTGCTTAATCACATCTAACACATCTTCTGACACTGACTGGGTGTCCTACAGCTCCCTCTGTTCTGACAGTATCTATAGGAGTTAGCAGTGTCACATGCTGGAACGTCAAGGCTCAGTCCAGAAGACTTCCCATATTTCCATGTGATGACTGTAGAATGGAAGGAGTCTCAGAACTCAAAGAGTGTACTCACTTGCTACGAGTTTGCTATAAAGGACATTCGAGAACATACAACGTGGTAGAGATGCGTGGGACAGGGAGTGGAGTAGGGCATGTTCCACGCCTTTACTGGGTCTGTCTTCCTCACCCAGTCTCATTGTTTAGGGATTTCTGTGGAGGTTTCATTAGATAAGGTTGATTAATTAAACCATTGGCCACTGGTAATTGATCCCTTTCCCCTCCCATGAAAGGAGGTTGGTCTGAAGTCAACTTTTTACTACAATGTTACAACCTCTGGCACACATCCACCATTCTAAAGCTGTGCTTGAGTTAATAAACTCAGATGACATCCAGGGGTTGGTCAGGAGTCATGAGGTCTTACCACTCACAGGAGCTCTGCCAGCAGCCTAAGGCACAGACTACATTCAGATTCTGATAATAGCACAGCTATTGCCATGTAAGGAAGCCTTTCACAGATCCAGGATTAGGCTCTTTTGTCTGCCACTCACTCTTTGACTTTTAACCACTCACACCTGTCACACATTAAGAATGCGTTTGCCCTGTCCAAGGTCCCCCATTACAGCATCCCCTTGTGTTCAGAATGCCTTCCCTCTAAACCGCTTGAAATCTAGTCATCTGAATCACTGGCCCCATGAGGCTCTGAATGTGACCCATCCTGGGACCAAGTGCTTCTTTGTGTGGACCCCATGAAACCGGAAAGTGAGTGTGCACTGGCAGAGCGCGGCAGGCCGAAGTGCCAGGGCAGAGCGCGGCAGGCCGAAGTGCCAGTGCAGAGCGCGGCAGGCCGAAGTGCCAGTGCAGAGCGTGGCAGGCTGAAGTGCCAGTGCAGGCGGCGGCAGGCCGAAGTGCCAGTCCAGGGGGTGGCATTAGGCACCCCCCTTTTCTTTCCTTTGCACCCGCAAAAGGATGCTGTCCAGGGCAGCGGAGCCGTTGTGTGGCAAGGCTCACCCTCTTCCAGTCTGTCCTCACAGGTTCTCATTTCCTTCCTACCCACAGCTGCAGAGCTTGTGTGCCCTGCTTCTGCCCAGGAACCGTCTCTTCCAGGCATCAAGGGCTTTTCTGTCATGCTTCTCAGACTTCCTCTTGCTTCTGCCCATTGCCCAAACCCAAAGCCTCTAACACCTTGATTGTTTTTTCCTTTGGAAGTATTTTTTTAAATTGTAAAAGTACACAGCTTCTTACCTCTACACATGCACTTAAATTTTTAAAGGAAAAACGTTGTATCTTATAATACCATGATCCTGGCTAATAGCTTTTCAAAACTTGTCAGAAACTGAGAAAAATCTTAAAAAGGTTTCACACGTCACCTGAAATTTACAAATTCAACATTATCAAAGAAGAAATGTTTCTATACTCCTAAAAAGACCACTAGAGGGCTGGGAAGGTGGCTCAGTGGTAGAGCGCTTGCCTTGCATGCATGAGGCCCTGGGTTGATTCCTCAGCACCACATAAGCAAAAAGAAAAAAGTCGGAAGTGGTGCTGTGACTCAAGTGGTAGAGTGCTAGCCTTGAACTGAAGAGCTGAGGGACAGCACCCAGGCCCAGAGTTCACGCCCCACGGCTGGACCAAAAAAAAAAAAAAAGACCACTAGAAAGAAATGATAATTAAAAAGCTAAGAAACTGTTTCAAAGGCTTTTATTTATTTATTTTTGCAATTCTTCCTCTACATCTGACGTGGTTTTAGGTGCGATAGCAGCACTGGCCTTCTACTTCCCAAACCCGTGTCCTTTCCTTTGTGGCGCTGTGACAGGCAGGTATCTATCTGTTCCCTCAGGGTTCTGGAGCGCTGGGGTGTTGGTGGGGCTGTGTCCCTGCTGGAGGCCCTCAGGGAGCCAGTTCCCTTGTGGCACTGCCCACAGCCCTGGTGTGCTCCGTGCTCCTTGACCCCGCCTCCTTCCTCTTGCTCTCACTCGCTCATGTCCCTCTTGTAAAGATCTTTATATTGCCCCTAGTGTTGAGATCCTTCGTTTGCTCTTGTCTGTTTATATTATAAAGTCCCCGTTGCCCCATAGGATAACGGATTTGGGGGATCAGGATGTGGCTGTCTGGGGGTTGTTGGTGTGCCCACCGCAGAAACTATTGCCAGTAGTCTCAGCACCATGTATTTCAATTTCCATGTAAAAGGCAGTTTTAGGAAAGAGCACATGATTAATTTTGTCTTTTTAAAACTTGATACAGGAACCTGGATACGATCAGCGTTGCTGTGGATCTGATTCTTCTATTCCGTGAGCTGCGGGTGGAGCAGGACTCCCTGTTGACAGGTAGTGTGAACCCCTCACGTGATGTCTGCCTTGAAGAGGATTTAAAACCCGTGTTTGGAGAGGCATACATTCCTCGAAACACCTTCTGTATTTGTGAGGCAGGAAACTTGGACAAGGAAATACTAAAAATTGGAGGTATAAAGGAAAGTTGCAGTCACTTCCTCCCTTTGGTAGGCTGAATGGTCTCCTTCCAACCTCTTAACCAGTCTGTCTTCGTGTCTGTGTGCAGCGTTAGCAGCACACTTAGTCTCGGTAGTTAATAAAGCAGATGTTTGTCACTCTCCGTTCTGGCCTCTGAGCTTGTACTCTGCCTCAGGGAGGTCGTATTGTGTCTCACATAGTGAAGGGCAGAAGGGCAAAGGAGCTTCTTCTGATCTTGCTTAGGTCGCTCATTTCAAGATCTGGCTCCGTGAGTGTTTTACTTGGCGGTGGGGGTGGTGGGGGTGGCGCGGGCTTCTGGCCTGTGGGCTATACAAGGTCCTCCAGATCATTAGTACCTTATGTGATGGGACAGGCAGGGATGATCCTAGCCCACTGCAGCCAGTGGCCCTTGGCATGAAGAGGTCCCCACCCTGTGCTAGAAGAACACGAGCATTCAGACCACAGCCTCATCCTAAACTCCTATACTCAAAATGAGAGTGTATGTGGGAGTAGGGCTTCCAAAGAGTGGTACTTAGCAAGAGGAGATCCACAGACACGAGGACCAGGTGAGGATGCACCAGGGGAGGATGCAGGGAGAAGATGACCATCTCATGGCAGGAGCCAGGTCTCAAAGAAGCCAGCCCTGCCACTGCCTTGATCTTGGACTTGGACCCCAGAGTGTGAGAAAGGCACTGTCTGTATTGGAACCGCTCTGTCTTTGGTTCTCCCCGGGGCAGCCCGGGCTGACAGATGTGCTCACCGGCTGTGCTTTTAGGTTGTGGCAGGCCCTGGTTGAGGTTCTCGTGTGATTTCAGCAGTGACCAGAGCAGACAGAAATTCTGCCCTCGGGCTCACATTCCAGCGAGGGGAGCCAGTTATTAAATCTGTTAAGTAAGTCCAAATACTTAGTGTGACAGAAAGGGATGTTAGCTCCGATTGCTAATGGCTGTTGGTAGGGATTAAGAGCACCTCAGCTCCGTGGCTGAAGCTCTGGAAGGTTGTAGAGGATTGTGAGTGTCTTTGGTTTTGAGCTGCTAGCAGCACTGCTCCTTTGCTCAAGGATTGTTATCTGAAGGGAAATTTTAAAAACAGACCTTTTGTGGTTATTTGACAAAATCTTCAAGTAAATATCTAGGCTTATGTTTCAGATATGCTAGGTTGTAGATTAAAAATTTTTTTTTTTGTCTCAGTGAGAAGTCCAGCTTGTATGTAAAATACGAGTTGAATCTGGGTGCTGGTGGCTCATGCCTGGAATCCTGGCTACTTAGGAGTCTTAAGAGAGTGGAGATTGTGTTCTGAGGCCAGCCTGGGAAGAAAACGTTCATGAGACTCCTCCTCAAACCATAGCTGCGTGCTGCCTCATGGGAGGCTGAGAATGGAAAGAGCAAAGTTCAAGGCCAGCCTGATCAGAGAAGTTCACAAGATTCCATCTGAACAGAAGTTGGATCTGGTGGCATGTACTTGTCTTTCCATCTATGAGCTTAAAATGAGCAGGTTGAAGCCAGGCACCCGTAGAGCACGCCTGTCGTTCCCAGCTATTCAGGATGCTGAGATCTCAGGATCACTGTTCAAAGGCAGCCTGGGCAGGAAAATGCGTGAGACTCTTATCTCTAATTAATCACAGAAAAATCCAGAAGTGGTACTATGGCTCAAGTGGTAGAGTGCTAGCCTTGAGGAGAAGGGGCTTAGGGACAGCGACCAGGCCCAGAGTTCAAGCCCAAGACTGGCCCCTTTTCCCTCTCAAAAAAGAAGAAAAGAGAGAATCTATCTTGAAAATAACCTACGTGCTGAAAAGGGTTTGGAGGCATGGCCCAATATTAGAGCATCTGCCCAGCAAGTGCAAGGCCAAGTTGAAAACCTAGTACTACTATATATGATTAGACTTAAATTGACTTACATACAGTTCTTAATCCCCTTTCTTCCCATATAGCATGAGGCAAACTTACATTAATATTAGTGGGCTGTTCTTGGTAGATAGGTGAGAATTGGAGGCGAGAGCGGTCTTACAAGGCATCAGAATTGAAGCACAGATGAGAGAGGCCAAATCAGTGTGGTTAGAGCTATGGTGTGTGCTTGGTGTGATTTCATTCATTCTCTTCTGCGATTTCTGGTGCTTTCATTTCAGATTCAATTGTGAAAATTCTTGGATCTTCTATTTGACTTAGGAGTCTTTCAAGAATTTACGTACATACAATATGTTTGTTCTGAGTTTTTTTTTTTTTTTTGAGCAGGACTAGTTTGTTAAATTGTTCCAAGAAACTGATAGTGTATAACTAGTGTGTGGATTTAGCCATATGGTTTTTAAAAAATGTTTTCTACTTAAAGGTATTTTTGTAGTGCCATTTTATAATGAAGTGGAAATGGTGGCACTCCGAATTGGGGGATTAAAAATCATTTCATTGTGTGTATGGAAAATCCCAAGTATGGTCATGCCTCACACCTGTAATCCTGCTCAGAGCCTGTGATGAAGCTAGCCTGGGCAGGACAGTCTGTGGGATTCTGTCTCCAATTAACTGCCAGAAGCCACAAGGGGAGCTGTGACGCAAGTGGTAGAGCATTAATTTTGAGCAAAAAAACCCCCAAAGTTCACGGACAGTGCCCAGGACCTTAGATCAAGCCCCAAGACTAGCACCAAACAAAACAAAACAAAAAGGTCCTCTCTGCTCCCTTTTGTGTGTGGTGGTTGGAGTCACTGTGGTATGCGTGCCCTGAATACAGAGGAGGCCTACGGTCATCCCTTGCTATATTGAGTTTCACTGTATCGTGGGTTAAAATGTGAATAGTGACTGCTCACCTGTTGTGGGAGCTATGTTCCAGAGACTCCCGTGATAGGTGAAAATCGGCCAAGTAGCAGTAATTGAACCGTGATACAGCAAGGGACGACTATCTAACGCTGCTACTTGGCCAATTTTCACCTATTGTGGGGGGCTCTGGAACGAGGTGAGAGACGTTATACACCTTTCCTGGTTGGAACTCAGGGCCTCATGCTTGCTTGGCTAGCTCTCTTTTACCACTTGAGTGTGTCCCCAGCTCTGCTTTGGGCTGGTTATTTTAGAGATAATAGTCTCACAGACTTTTTCCCAAGCTGGTATCAAATCCTAATCCTCCAGATTTCAGTCTCCCATGTAGCTAGGCTTTGCCGATGTGCGCCACCAGCACCTGGCCTCAGTTCTGAGTATTTTATATCAACACAGTTGTAGAATTACTTCTGTCTGGCTTATTTCACTTAGTATATTTTCAAGATTCATCTACATTGTAGCGTGCATCAGAACATTGTTCCTGTGTTGATTGAATGGTACTCTTTTGTAAGGACATGTCATGGTTCATTAGTTTGTCTATCAGTTGTGGAGTTTGGCTGTCCATCTTTGGTCTCTATGAATGATATATTTGTTTGAGTGTCAAGTGTATACCTGGGGGTGGAATTGCTGGATCCTGATTACTGTGGTTAACATTTTAAGGTCCATTATACTGTGTCCCAAGCAGTTTTCTGTAATGATGGGTTTCTCCATGTCTTGTTGCTCTTTTTTGTTTTGGGGTTATTGTTATTCTGGTGTGAAGTGACAAGGTTTCATTTGCATTGACCACTGAGGGTAAACATCTTTTCATATGCTCACTACTTTTAGTAAATCTTCCTGTCTTTTGTAGTCCTTTGACCAGTTTTGTTGTTTTATTGTTGATTTGTACAAGTTCTTTATATATTGTAGATACTAGGATTATATTGAATATGTGAGCTTAACAGTATCGAGTCTCTAGTCCATGAAATTGGAGCATCTTTTATTTGAGGTCATGTTTAACTTTTTAGATGTTATTTTTAAGTTCCTGTTTTGAGTGGCAGAATTAGAAGGATATTACAAGGCAAGAAGATGAAGGGAAGTTAAAAATATTTCTTGCCACCTTGAAAAAGTCAAAATAGTGATGTCACTGCTTTTTTTTTATTTGGAATTACAGTGGTAAATTTTGGATTCAACAAGAAACTTGAAGTTTTTTTTTTCACTGCATGTCAGTTCAAACCTAATCCAGCAAAGTTGCAAAAATATTCTGGTTTCTAAGAAAGACTTGTGCTATCTTTTGATATTTTCTCTGTGAGAACATTGTTTTAGGGAGAATTTTTCACAGGGGTAACTGCCAGTGTTTTGTTACTACTCTTGAGGTAAGAACTATAATTACATTGTCAAAATAATATTTAGAGTATTATTTTCAGGGAATAATTGCAGTGGTGTGACAAATATATTATGCTCATCATTTTTATGTAAACACAAGCATGAGCTATTTTAATTGAGTTATTGTTGTTGGTTTTAGTCTTTCATCTTTCCTAATCTGTAAAAACAATGTGGGGAGTTGCCTGTTTTCAGTATTTACATCAAGACCAGTGGATAAGCTGATTGGTAAAAGTAACCTGTCGTCTTGTCTTCAGTTTTCTTTTTTTGTGTCTGGGACATCTCTAAGCCTTTTTATAATTGTGTTCTGATTCAGAGTGCTAGTTTTTATTTGCCCAGGAAATTATTGACTCAGTTGGCTTTTCAGACCAGCTTACACTGCTGGTTTTTCTTCTATGTTAAGGAAGTGTTAATACCCCCAAATATTCTGTAGAACTGTAATATCTTTAAGAATTGTGGCTTTATCTGTAAGAAGGATAGGGTTTTGGTTTTATTTTTGTTATAAACCTTTGATGTATGTTCATTACAGATTTTTCTTTTTGGCAGCACTGGCATTTGAACTCAGGGCTCTGTGCGTGCTAGAGAGCTTCACTGCGGACCCTTGTCTCTAGCCTAGAGTACTTAAAAACAAAAACCTCAGAAATGTGAGAAATAATTATCACTCTGTGTATAAACTGAGAAACTCTTGACCTTTTTTTTTTTTTTTTGGCTTTTTCTGGTGTCTGTATGAATGTGTGCTTGCAGATTTGTGTACAGTTTCTTGGTTAGATTATGATACTTGCTATTCAGTTTTGGGGTTCTTCTTGCATGATTTTCTTTCCGTATATTTCAGTGGCTTCCTTTTCCCAGTTCTTCCTTGAACAGCTGGTTGGGTAACTACCGTTGCAGTGAGGTGTGGGAACAGGGGTCCCTCTGGGCCTGGTCCCCCGGCATCAGGGTCAGTGGCAGGGTGGTAATGGTGAGCTCCGGGAGCCCGCTATTTGGGCTAATCAAGCCAGCAGCAGAGACTTGAGGGATTGTTTGTCCCTGAAATGCTGGCCAACTTTCTTCATGTGAACAAAATCTTTTCAATTCTAGCTCTCTTCTCTTTATTTATGTGCCAGTACTGGGCTTGACTTAGGGCCTTAACTCTTGTTCAGCTTTCTTGCTCATGGCTGACATTTTAACCACTTGAGCTGTGCCTCTAGTCTGGCATTTTGCTGGTTAGTTGGATATAGGTTCTTACAAACTTTTTTGCCTGGGCTGGCTTTAGACCTCAGTCCTCAGATCTCAGCCTCCTGAGTAGCTAGGATGACAGGGTTAAACTACCAGCTTTCTTCTACCCTGATTAACCTGGATTCCTATTCTGGATAAGGGAGTGGGGAGGGACTCCTCCTGTTGTACTGTATTCAGGCTTTAGCACCTTGGTTGCTTGCTCTATAATGGGGCTTGGTTCTTAGGAGATCAGATGAGCTGGCACACCAGCACACACAGTCTGTTGAGTAGAGGACACTGGTGTTAACGTGGCTTGTTTTATTACTGGCTTCTCTGCATTGACTTTGGTATCTGCTCTCTTTCCCCGCCCAGGTCCTGATGTGAATCACTTTAAAAGCACACTGTGGTGTAGAGGATGGGCTGCACTGTGTCCGTGGTCTGGCTGTCCTGGCCTTTTAGTGAAGGGGCTGGGTGTCAGGAAGGGGCTGGGCAGGGGTTGCCGGGATCTAGAAGTTAAGTCTTACCCTAATCTGCTCTGTGGATATCAGCGCTTCTCTTCTAGTACATTGGGGGGGTGAGCACCTTGTGGGTATTGAAGCCCGCTGTCCTCATTGAACTCTGCTGGGCCCTGCCGGCCCTTGGTGGCCAGGCAATGTGCTTTGTTTCTCTGTGCCTCCCGAGGCACAGGGGAGTATGAAGCCTTGGACGCCTACCTCCCTCCTTGCCTCCGCTGCCTTCACATCCAGATCTGCCTCCTCACCTTCTGTACGTTCTGGGCCAGGGTCTAGGGACCCATCTCTCCTTTGGTGGCAGTTAGGCGTGGCCAGCCAAGGAGCTGCTGGGAGACTGGGTGGCAGGTGGATGGGGGACTAGGAACTTGCCCCCAGGCAATGGCAGTGTCTCCTGTGTAACACATTGAATTGTGGGGAGTTCCAGCTCGTTCCAAGTTGAATGTCTTTTTTTTTTTTTTTAATAAGTTTTTTTTTTATTGTGAAAATACCGTTCAGAGGGGTTACAGTTCCATGAGCAAGGTCATGAGTACATTCTTATCAAGCATTGTTGCCTCCTCCTTTGTTTTTCCCCTACCATCCCGGCCCTCCCATCTCCACAACTACAGTTGAGTGTCTTGTGTTGGGTCCCTGCCTCAGCTCTGGCTGGCAGCCCTGCGGGCCCCGGGTCTCACTCACCATCAGCTTTGCTCTCCAAGGTCACTGTCAGCCTCTGTGTCACCTTAGTGATGCTGTTGTGTTTGACTTATGTCTGACATTCCCGTTTTCCTGTTAAATCTAACTGGTCTGGTTCCATTTGCCGGCCTTGCTCTGACTGGCTTTGCTGTTCCACTGCCAAGGCTGGGGCCTCATGTCTCATGCCTTGCTCCCACTGAGTTCCTTCCTTCCCTCCTCCCCCTTCCTCCCATGCAGCCAGTGAGGGGATGTGAACGCCATGGAAGCCACCTCGTCATTTGGATGGCGAGGGACCTCCTGGTCCTCCTGCCTCCCTCCACCTCCCAATTCCAGCTGGGATGGCAGGAGTGTGCCTCCGTGTCCGGCTGGACAGGGAAGGGCTCACGTGAGGAATTTGTGTCACAAATGCTTGGACTGACTGGTACTGACTAGTACCAGGCTAGGGAATGGTGATGAATGCAGGATGCAGGAGTTGACTGAGTTGCCTCAAATCTTGACCCTTCTAATCCCTGTCTCTTGAGTCGAAGTTAGGGTTAGAGATTGGAGCCTTGTGCGTATATTTGTGTGTTCTGGGCCTTAAACTCAGTGCTTTTTGCTCTCACTTGGCTTTTTCTGCTCAAGGCTGGCACTCTGCCACTTAAACTATACCCGTACTTGCACTTTTTGCTTGGATTTTTCTCTGTGGGCTGTTTTTTGTTTTTTTAATTTGTTGATCATAGGGTTTACACTCAGGTCCTGGGTGCCGTCCCTGAGCTCTTCCCCCCTCCCCTGCCCCCCTCTACCCTGAGCTCTTTTGTTCAAGGCTAGCACTCTTATCCGTTAAGCCACAGCACCACTTCCTGTATTTTGTGTGGTTAATTGGAGATACGAGTCTCTAAGGGACTTTTCTGCCTAGGCTGGCTTGGAACCACAGTCCTCAGATCTCGGCCTCCTGAATAGCTAGGATTACAGTGTGTGCCCATCTGTGGGCTTTCTCGATAAGGCATATTAATATTATTGTGGAGAGAGATCTCTAAAGAAAAAAACCCATAAATTTGTGTTTAATAACATAGGAAATGCTTCTTTTAGAGATGTTTTTATTTATGGTGTTTAATCAGATGCTCTTTATTTTTACTATTGTGCATTCATAGCTTTTCGCTGTGGCCTACAGTTTTTAGGCAACATTGCCTCACGGAATGAAGAGTCCCAGTGCATCGTTTGGGAGCGCGCTTTCCCAGAACTCTTCATGTGAGTATTGGGCTTCTACAAGACTGGCTAGAATTCTGAATATAAACTAAGAGGTGTGAGAAACTAACCTGTGCTATAATAGAATTCAGGGCAGTATATATTCTAGACTGGTATGTCTTCATTAAATTTTTCTTTTGGGATAGTCCATGTCTGTCAGGGTTTGAATAAGATGACCAGATTGTAGGAGAGTCTTAGGCACGTTCAAGATAACCAGATTGTAGGAGAGCCTGAGGTATGTTGGTATTCATGAAGATTCCGTGCTTTGGTGGAGGAAACAGGAACCATAGTTGTAGTGTAAGAACGGAGACCGTTTTAGATTAAATCCAGGCCAATAGTAATAGCAATAGAATAGAATAGAAAAGCAAAAGAGAGGTTCTGAACTGACAAATCTTACATTATGTCATGTGGTCCTCATAAAAGCCTTGTGAGATCGACTGAGACCTTTTTATTATGGTTTGATTTTTATATCAGAACACATACTGAGAGAGGTTGTGTGATTTTATACTTTGTGCCTTTGTGAGACATGACACAGCCTAAGTTGGATTCCAATTTAGGCAGGCATCAGCTTTGTTCTATAGAGCAAGTGAACCCTCCCCTCCCTGTAGTGCTGGGGTTTGAACTCCAGACCTTGTACTTGCTGAGTGTGCACTCTACAGAGTTTTCCTCCCATAATGGCTTTGATTTGTAATCCTCCAGATCTTAGCCTCCAGAGTAGTTGGGATTATAAGAGTGAGCAACCGGTGCTCAGACGCCAGATTTCCAATTTGAACAAAAACCAAATTGTGTGTAGTCCAGGTTATAATTGACATTTGATAAGCAGTGTGCTTCCTGAGGGAGCGTTGAGGTTGGTAGATAAGGTAAGGGTTATGCTGAGGCTCTGGACTTCAGCTGAGTTCCTCATCACCACACTCGGTTCTTCAGATGTTGCTGTCCCTCACGACCATTCCAGGAATGCCTGTAGTATTTGTTTTTGGTTGACCTTTCTTTTGAACAAGGCTGAGCAAGCAATCTTAATGCTTTATAAATGTGATCATTTCAGTTTTCTTCTTTATTTAAATGTTTATCTTTTGAGTCTTAAATCAAGTGCAACATTTTATAAGGTTTCCATCTGGTATTTGCTACTTTTTTCTTTATTATTACTAGGTAGTTGCACAAAGAGGTTAAAATTCCATGTGTGGTTCTAAGTACAGTAGTTCTAGGTTGGTGTTACCTCTCCCATTGTTCTTCCCCCATTTTCCCACTTGCGTCCTTACCCTCAAGTTACATAGTTTACTTACTACATAATGTACATTGGCCATTACAGTAAATAATACTGTTTCAAAGCATTATAAGTTTATATATATATATGTTTTTTTTTTTTTTTTTTTGTCGGTCATAGGGTTTGAACTCTGGTCTTGGGCGCTGTCCCTGCACTCTTCAGCTCAAGATGAGCACTCTTATCGCTTGAGCCACAGCGCCACTTGCCACTTCCAGTTTTCTGGTAGCTTATTGGAGATAAAAGTCTCACAGACTTCCCTGCCCAGTCTGGCTTTGAACCGTGATCCTCAGATCTCAGCCTCCTGAGTAGCTAGGATTACAGGTGTGAGCCACCGGTGCCCTGGTATAAGTTTTTATTAAATCCTTAATAATCTATATATTGAGTTTGCTAGTGGGATTACGGTTATGGTTTATAATCATGCTGTACATGCTTCTAAATTGGACTGAAAGTCTCATTTCTTTTCTTGAAAGGTCTTGCTTAAATCACCCAGATAAAAAAATCGTTGCCTACTGTTCAATGATTTTGTTCACATCTCTGAATTCTGAAAGAATGAAGGAACTGGAAGAAAACCTCAATATTGCAATTAATGTCATAGAAGCTCACCAGAAGCAGCCAGAATCAGAGTGGCCGTAAGTATTGTTAGGAATTTGATGATTAGGGGTATTCTGGCAGAGAGTGCTTTCCTCATAGATACTCGTATTGTCACCATTTTGGCACCTTACGGTGTTGCCCAGGCTGGTCTCAAAGAGCATTGCTAGTGTGTGCACACAAGGGCGTTTGCTCATTGCGTAGTCATCTTGTGCCCTGCAGTTTTACTGAATTCATTAATTTCTTCTAATAGGATTTTTCAAAAAGGATTTTTCTCTATGCAAGGTCCTGTCATGTGCAGATAGGTAGAGCTTTATTTGTTTTTCCCTCTCCAGTGGCATTGCCGTTCTGTGTCTCACTGGGACTTAGAGTGCAGTGTTAAGTGGAAGTGGCAAGCGACACACACATGTCACTTACCTGAGGGGGACAAGTGTGGCTTCTGATAAACAGTGAGGTTCCAGACCATCCAGAATCCTCCAAAGAAAAGGCTGTTTTGACCGTTAAGTCTGAGCTCATTGCTGAACATTGCAGAAGACCCCCTTCCACCTTGCTGTCCTGGAAATGATGCAATGTCTAACAAAAAGCACCAAACTACATCATCTCAGAACTTACAGATTTTTTTTTCATTTTCTTCTTTTCTGTTAGGGACAGATACAAGATTTTAATACCTCTGGGTCTTTTTGTGTGGGTATACGAGGGCCACACGAAAGTGTAGGCAAGGAAGTCTAGCAGCACACGTGGTGTCTTTCTAAAAATGTTTGCTTTTTTTTTTTTTTTTGTAGGCATGAAAGATGTTTTCATGCTCTTAGATTACCCTACATAAATCCCAGGTTCCTATTTTGACTTGATCTAAACCAGGCAGTAAATGGACATTGGTAAGTTAGAAGAGCATGGATGCATCGGTGTGGATGTAAAATAGGAGAGGGAAGGTCACCGCTTGCCGATGCTGTGGCCTGATGGTTTTCTGCATGCGGTATTACTGCTGTGCTGCTGTTACACAAGTGTTCACGCACACGTGCGGACAGCACAACATACAGTTGAGAACTAGTTTGCTAAAGCTGTACCACTAGGAGATTGTGTATAGCACCACATAAAAAACGGGTGATTTTCAGAGTGTAGGGCAGGTGAAGACTCTGTTAGTCTTGGCCTTTATGGACAAATTTTGGGCATTCTTTGGAGCTTATACCTAATTTCACTACAAATGAAATTATAACTGAATAAAGCATTATTTTCAGTTCATATTTAGGTTATATTGTTGACTTATTTTCTGTGAGAAAGATTAATTTCCAGATTCATACCCCCTTTGCTCTAGGGATGTTTCTTGCCTAATGCATATGCATGTTATCATCTAGTATTAAGACAGGAGGAATATGAGCGTAATTGTCTTTCCTCTTGCTTTCAGCATCTGCACCCCAATTTCATAGCACTTAATGCTTTTAATGGCCCGTTGAGATGTGAGTTTCTTGATGGATCCATAGCAAGATAGCATCTGGTATTTGATAGGTTCTTATAGAGTTAATGGTTCTGCTGAAGGTAAGTGCCTGAAGCACACACTGAAGGGAGTCCTGGCTTGCTCAGTGGGTGCAGGCCTGCCGGTCAGAGAGGCTGAACCTCATTGCTCAGGGCTCCCTGAGAGCAGGCTTTGTCTTTCCCATGCTGTGTTTTTCTCAGCTCCTTTTGTTCTCCTGATGAGTGCTCTGTCTACTCCCCCTTTCCAAAGATTCTTCGAACTATCCCTTTAGCTTCTTTGATCTCCTGTTGTCTTATTCTTGGCCCCCAATTCACTGGTTTGGTGCATTATGCTATAATTCAGGATGTTTATCTACGAGTTGTACCAGCACATGGTTCTGTAGTTATGATCAGTGTGGATGTGACTCCTCTACTGCTTGGGGAAGGTTCTTAGAAATAAGATATATGTTCTAACCCTTGGCTAAAGTACTAAATATTGAGGGGTTTTGTTTTTTTGAGATTGGATCTCAGACTGTCCTTGAACTTGAAATTCTCTGCTTTAGCTCTTCAGGTGTTTCATGGGCATATGCCAACACAACTGTTTTGACTTTCAGTGTTCCTTTTTTTTTTTTTTTTTGGTGGTGGTTGTACTTAGGGTTTGAACTTGGTGGTCTGGCACTTGCTAGGCAGATGCTTTATAATCTGAGCCACTCACCTAGTCTCTTGTTTTTGAATGAATATTCTATGGCAAAATATTTTTTATTTCCAAGCAGCTGAATTATGAATTTCAGAATTCGTTTTATTTGTGAACCCAGCTTAGAATGAATGAATTTCAAATTTTGCAGTTGATGACCTATCTGAATTGATATGAATATTTCTTGGTCCAAAACTTGACTATCAGCCATTATTGTTAGAACAATTTTTTTTTTTTTTTTTGGGTCTGGTCATGGGGCCTGAACTCTGGGCCTGGGCACTGTCCCTCAGCTCTTCAGCTCAGGGCTAGCGCTCTACCACTTGAACCATAGTGCCACTTCCGTCTTTTTCTTTTTTGCTTATGTGGTGCTGAGGAATGGAACCCAGGGCCTCATGCATGCAAGGCAAGCGCTCTACCACTGAGCCACCTTCCCAGCCCCTGTTAGAACTATTTTACATCTTAAGTGTTACTAGGAAGTTTTAAAGATGGTAGTCAGAATATCTAGTTTGCTTTTGCTTTTTTTTTTTTTTTTTTTTTTTTTTGGGAGAAGGGGGTTAGTACTGGGAGAATCCTGGGTCTTGTTGATACTAGGCAAACACTACCAGTGCTGCATCCCCAGCTTAGAATTTGCTTTCACTCAAGTGCAGTCATTCTGTTGTGGCAGTTGAGATGCTTTGTTTGGTTATCAGACTGAAAGGTTCTGCTTTAATTGTTAGCAAGTGATTAAATTAGTCTTCAGTATATTTAATGTTTTAGAATCAACTCTTATTACTGTAACCTTGAATATAAACTTTGTATTTCTTAGGTCCTAAGTCTTTTTCTCAGATGCCCTCTAGTAGAAGTAGTTGTGATTAAGAATTGATAATACTCTTCAGTCTTTTTAGCTGTCACAATGCTATTTTAAAGAAATATGCCCTATAATCTTTGCCTTGGGGTCTCTGTAGCTGATCTCTCCAAGTTCATGTGAGCACAGTGCTTGACAATGAGGATGTTTTCTTGGTAACTTGAGAATGTTTAAAGAATGAAAAATCAAGCAGGATTCATCACTGCATTGTTGGCATATCTTACATAAAGTACGATACGCTCATTTCTGTCTTATAGTATGAGTGTAGTAATTTTCTGTCGGTATCTGAAATTGTAGCTAAATTTCACATTACTATATGTAGTGAAGACTTTTTCCTTTTTCATTGCAGATGTAGGTCTTTTAAAAATGGAATCAATTTGAATTACTTCAATAAATTGTTCAGGTGTAAAATTAGAGAAAATCATTTCAAGTGTTTTTTTTCCCCTTTTGCTGCTAATAGAAAAATAGTGAACAGACTAAAGCATTTAAGGTTATTGTAGTAATAGGTTTAATAAGATGATGTGTTTTCATGTGTAAGATGTACATACAAAGCATGTCTATTTTACTGTTTCCAGTAACCATGCTTTTCCCTCTGCCTCTCCCCCTAGGTTCTTGATCATTACAGACCACTTCCTGAAAAGCCCAGAATTGGTGCAAGCCATGTATGACAAACTGACCAATCAAGAAAGGTAACCCCAAAACCATTGTGGTCTTGAATCTTAGCATTCCATATGGAGTGTCCTGCAGCTTGGACTGAAAAACAGTGTGGTTTCTCAGCTGGCAGTGACCTCTAAGTACATGTTTCTGTGTGGTGCTGGCTTTGCATTGCTTGGTTAACATCACAGCTCAGCCACAACAGGCAGTGATTTACACAGAAATGGAGAATTCAGGTTGGTGCCACTATTGAGTAAGGACATTAAAAAAATAATGCTATAGACAAAACTTTATGGTCTTGCTTTGATTTTATAATGGCAGTTTATACAACTATGTATTATAGGTCTGTGTTTTGACAGGTGCTCATTTGCTCATGCCACTGGTGTGAATATTTGGGTTACACACTCTAGGTTTGTAGTTTTGGACAAGAATGGATAGCTGTCCAGCCTTAGAGTGCTGTAGTGGGAAATGCCGGCACATTGCTCCTTGCTCTTGGGCCTTGTCATGGGATGCTTGATGAGGTTGTAGCTGTGTCTTTTCACCTTGTTTGTATTCAGTTTCTTGAAGAGGATTGAAGAAATTTGCATGCTAAGGAAAATTTACACAATAATTTGCAGCATACTTTCATTCCTGTTACATGTGTTTCTTAATTTTATTAGAAATGTCACCTTAGGAAAAATATTTGTTCATTAGATCATAGCTCTACTGATTACAACTTAAATATTTTTTCTTTTGATAATAGCTACAGTTTTTATAATAGTTTTCTTAGTATGTATTTATCTTTCTGTAATCCTTGGTAGGCATTTGTTAAATACTTTTTTTTCTTGTTAAATATCTCTAGCACACAGGTTCAGGAAGTTGATGTAAGACTCTAATCCCAGATCCCAACAGTATAGAGGCAGACACAGGATGATTGCAAATCTGTCCAGGCTGGGCTGCCTGGCCGCCAGAGAGAGCATGCTAACAGCACTACAGGCTTATACCATCCCCTTCTGTCCACTGCTCCCTCGGGCGGAGCCTCAATTCATTCACTGTACGGTGTCTTGGGACACATCAGGATTCGTCTACCTCTGAGCATGTTTAAGTAGTGACCTCTCTGACCGTCAGGTACTCTGATTCAGTGCACTGGGAATCAGGCTGGCGCATGTGAGCCGGAACCCTGCTGTTGTCCCTACTCACGAACACTGCTTGCAGGCAGAGGCTCATTCAGGGCATTCTCCATGTGGGGTTTTTGCCCTGGCTACCAAAGTTGTTGTAGTCCCTGCAGTACCTGACTCTTGTCTATAACTTACCGCAGTTGGAATGAGGAGATTCATTCATTTATTCATCCTTCCTTCCTTCACTGCACACTGCCTGAACCTTAGCTTGCTTGCTCTTGAGGGCTAATAACATTTTTGGTCTCTGTGGCATACTATTCACCAAATTATATGTGTGGAGTGGTTCTCAAATTTTGCTGGAAAAGCCAGTCCTTGAATTTGAATTATAGATATTTCTAGAATTATAGGACATATTATTTTCATTCTAGAATACTCAAAAACCCACTCTCTCCCTTCTCCTTTATCTTCACTCTTGGTCCTCTCCAAAGCCACCTTTGCAGGGTAATATTAATGTGGCTTTAAAAGCTGGTCTGGCCGGGCACACCTGGAACCCTAGCCCCTCAGAGGCTGAGATCTGAGGATTGCTGTTTGAAGTCAGCTTGGGCAGGAAAGTCCATGAGACTCTTATTTACTATTAACCACCAGAAAGCTGGAAGTAGAGCTGCAGCTCATGTGGTAGAGTGCTAGGCTTGAGCAAAAAAGCTCAAGGACAGTGCCCAGGCTCTTGAGTTTAATCCCTAGGACTGGCACACAAAAAACCAAAAATCCTTATTGTCTACATCAATTTAAGTATAACTTTAAAAGTAAATTTCCTTCCTTCCCTCCTTCTCTCCCTCCTCCTCTCTTTCTCTCCCTCCCTCCCTCCCTCCCTCCCTCCCTTCCTTCCTTCCCTTCTTCCTTTTCCTTCCTTCCTTCCCTTCTTTCTTTTCTCCCTTCCTTTCTTTCTTTTCTCCCTTCCTTTCTTTCTCTTCTTTGTTTTTCTTCCTTCCTTCCTTCCTTCCTTCCTTCCTTCCTTCCTTCCTTCCTTCCTTCCTTCCTTCCTTCCTTCCTCTCTCTCTTTCTTTCTTTCTTTCTCTCTTTCTCTTTCTTTCTTTCCCTCCCTCCCTCCCTCCCTCCTTCCCTCCCCTCTCTCTCTTTCTTCTCTCTCTCCTTCTCTCTCTTCTCTCTCTCCTTCTCTCTCTCTTTCTTTTTGCACTATCTCTGGGCTTGTTTTGCTCAAGGCTAGCATTCTTCAACTTGAGCCACAGTGCCACTTCTGGCTTTTTCTGCTTATATGGTATTGAGGAATCAAACTCAGGGCTTCATGCATGCATGGTAAGCACTCTACAACCGAGCCACATTCCCAGCCCAAAAGTAAATAAATTTCTTACATAGAATTTCCCTAAAATCCATTGCATGCACATTGCCATTTTTCACATGAAATAAAATGAGAATTCCAATTTTGAGGTGACGTTGTAACTGCTGAGCAGGGGATAGAAATAACTGCTTCGGACAGCCCTGTTGAGCTGCAGTGGTGAGGAGTCTGCAGGTGCTGACGGGGGCTGTGGGTAAGGGGAGAACAAGCAAGACTTCAGTCCACGCCGCTAGCACACAGGAGTGAGTAAGGTAATGACCAGCATGGTGAGACCACTCCTGTTCTGTGTTCACAGCTGGCTGCTCATAGTCCCATAGACTGTAGTGGAGCTACACAAGTCCTGGTGACATCATAGCTATGGGTACATCTCAGTCATTCCAGTGTCAGCACATCCCACTCCACAGGGGTCTGTGACAGTGATGTTGTGAACAAACCTGACTGCTCAATGCTTTTAAAAAGTACACATTGCTTCTAGGTATACAGTCAGTTTATTCATTCATTGGCGATGCTAGGGCTTGAGCTCAGGCCTTTTGCTTCCTAGGCAGGCTCTCTACCACTTGAGTTTAGCCTGGGCCTCTCGTTGTGTGTGTTCATCCTGCCTGTCTTCCCATATAGTGCCACCACCCGATTTCTTGCTTGTTGGGGGTCTCCTTAATGTTGCGTTGCTTGTACCAGGGTGTGAACTCAAGGCCTTTGAGCTTGCTTGACCTGATTACTTGGCTGGCATTCTACCACTTGAACTCTACCTTCAGCTTGGCTTTTTGCATGGTTATTTTGGAGGAGTCTGAGTGCTTGGCCTACACCTGGATGTGTAAGCAGACTCCCATGATGTCTACACAGTAAAGCCCAGTGACTCCTTTGTCAGGACTGGGCGCTGTTAGGCGGCAAGACATCTGCGTTTGGGTGGCTGGAGCAGGGAGACACATGCTGCTTTACCCCTTGTTCCCAAGTTTTCCGCGTACAAGAGGGCTGGCAGATGCGCTGCATGGTTACATGCTCTTGAAAGTTTCCTTCTTCAGTCCCTGAGGCAAGCTGTATTGTCCTGTGTGATTATTTTTCCAAAGAGTCCGTTTTATTATTATTACTAAGGTGTTGTGCAGAGGGCTACCATTTCTTCAGTCATTCGCCTTCCCGCACTTTCCCGCTCCCAAGTTACACAGTTCACTTTCCATATGTGTCTGGCAGGATTGCGTTTGATCATTCTTCCTCCTGCCCTTTCTGCGCTCCCTTCGTCCCCTAAGAAGAATAAAAAACAAAGCAAAATCAGATACCACCACCAACAAAGCCCTCTGTTGTGTGTGATTTATTTTATGTATAAAGATGGTAGTGGTTGAGGGAGAGAGTCGCAGTGTGAGGGACAGCCCCACGGTCTAGATAATGGGTTCCTCAGACACGCTCCCTAGCACGGTCTAGATAATGGGTTCCTCAGACACGCTCCCTAGCACGGTCTGGATAATATAGATATCTGCATGGGGGCAGATAGCTGACTTAATGGGAAGGAACATTCGTGGAAGTGCTGTCTGTGTTCAGGTGATATTCCAAGTTAGTTTGCCCTTTTTTTTTTGTCAGTCGTGGGGCTTGAACTCAGGGTCTGGGCATGTCTCTAAGCTACTTTGTGTTCAAGGTTAGCACTATACCACTTGAGCCACAGCACCACTTTGTTAGTTTGCATTTTTATTTCGTAAGGCTCATTTTTTATTTCTAACCATGTAATAAAAGCTATAGGGGGCATTTACTGGGATTTCCACCACCTTGAGATCTTGCCTGTGATGCAGGAGAATGTGGTGATTTAACTGGATCAAGTCACTCTCTTCTATTACTCTGCCTGTTGAGTAACAGGCAGGTGCATTGTCAGAGCCAGGCAGGAGTTGTGATGTCACCCTATCAGTTACTACCTCACTCCTTGATCTCGATGATGTCTTGAGAACCCCTTGTAGTGTTCCCAGATGGTCTCCTGCTTGGGGAAAGCCGTGAACCTGACTGTAAGGCTGGCATGTACTCTGTTCAGTTTAAAGAGTAAGATAATAAAAGGGAAATCAAATCTTAGTGCTGTTCAAGAAAGCGGATTATTTGCCTATTCTACTTTGTTCTAGTGGTTGCTATAAAGCTAAGGTTTGAGGAGTTTTGAGAATTGCTACAGTCCCAGGCTGCTTATCTTTGACCTCGTTTGGCCACCACACAGAAAGCATTCAGTGGAGCTTTCCTTCTTTCTCAGAGCAGGTAGTTCCAGGTCTGGCTTACCTCTCAGTGGTTGTGAGACACCAGACATGAAGCCTTTCCACAGCTTTTAATGTGCACTTCGTGATAATGTCTGGCCTGAAGAGGCATGTGAGGGTTAGGTCAAATAATGTGTCTGACGTGTTCCACTCAGCTTCTGGTACTTTCTGCCACACTTAACAATCTCACTTAGAGTTGTTACTGTGGGTGTATTCATAAAACCTAAACCCTCAGCATTTCTAAAATGTTGAATGACTACAATGAAAGCAAGCAAGGGACAAGATATAAGAAGTGCATTAGACAATTCTTGTGTCTAAGAAGCTTACTCACATTAAACAAATCAAGATTTTAGAAAACAGGTCATTGATGATGATTAGCTTCATTTATAAAATGGTATTCCCAGCCAGGCATTATAATTAGTGAACAGATTTAAAACTAAATATTCCCTTAAAATTGTATCCCTAGGTATTTCCAGTGTTGTACAATTTAAAGTGTTCTGTGTTTGTTCCTTTGTGTTTTCCAGGGTGACATTTCTAGACGTCATGATAGCCAAGCTGGTAGGTGACGAGCAGCTGAGCAAGGACGATGTCCCTGTGTTTCTGCATCATGCCGAGCTGATTGCCAGCTCTTTTGTGGACCAGTGCCGGACTGTGCTGAAGCTCACCTCCGAGCAGCACTCCGAGGATGAGGTAAGGACATAGCTCATTGTGGGAGCTCAGCCCCAACCCTGAGAGGTCTGAACCGCTTCTGAAGGTATTACACTCCTTAAATTAGAGAGCTTAAAGACGTCAGACGAGGTAACATGTAAATATGTATGTATCCATGTACACAAGCACATAGCAGTCTGCTAGTGGGTTTATTCTAGGTCACCTAATTATCAGTTTAAGTTTTTCCCCCTGGATGTAGTCTCCCTGCAGGCAGGAGTTGGACCATGGTTATAGTCCTGTAGATTTCGTAGGAACTTAACAAGTACTTGCTGAATGAATATGTTTTAAAATATCAGTACATTATTCTAGTGAAAAAAATTTACCATAATTTAGGATGGAGGTGTGGTATAAGAAGTGTAGAGTATTCCTCAGATCTCAGTCTCTGATTAGTTAGGAGTACAGGTGTGAGCTCTGACTTGGGGTCTTGCTTTTTAACCCAGCCCGCCATTCTGTTTTTTAAATTGAGAGTTGAAGCCATTAACACTATTATTATTGAGTGGTGTGTAGTATTTCCTGTCATTTTGTTGGTTTTGTGATGTTTCCTTCTTTTCTAATCCTCATTTGCTAATTTACTTGTCCAAAACACTATTTTCCTAATAGTGTTTATCTTGCTCTTCTGTGTGTAGGATTCCTTTAAATACCTTCTGCATTGCTGATTTAGCAGTCATGAATTCCCATTAGTTTTTGTTTATTCAGTGGAAGGTTTTTATTTCTCTTTCATCTGTGAAGAATGCCATTGCTGGATACATTAATCTAGATCGACAGTTATTTTCTTTCAGGGCTTGGAATATATCATTCCATGGCCTTCTTGGTTTTAGAATTTCTGTTGAAAAATCTGTTGTTCTTCTGATGGCTTTTTCAGTCTCACAGCTTCCAGTATTCTTTGTTCTGAATATTTAGTGTTTTTAATTTACTATGTGCAGGAGTGTTTCTTTTCTAATGTTACCTGCTTGGTTTTTTAAAAGCCTCCTGTTTCCTAGATGACCCTGTCTTTCTCAAGATTTGGTAGTTTTCTGCTAATATTTTATTGATGGTGTTTCCTGTACCTTTAGTGTGTATCTCTTTTCCTCTTCTGCATCCATGACTTGTAAGTTTGGTTTTTATTGTGTCCCCACATATGTTACATGTTTTGTTTATAGTTTTTGTTTTTTTTCATTTATTCAAGTGATCTAATTCCCCTATTTTATTTTTGATTTCTGATAGTCTATTTTCATCTGAATTCTATTTGTAAAGCTTTCTATTGAGTTTTTTTTTAATTTAGATTTTCAAACTTTTCATTTTCAAGATTTCAATTTTCTTTTTTTCTTTTTAGGATTTCTATATCTTCATTTAATTTCTCCACCATATCCTGCATATCCTTACTTCATTTGGTTGTTTATTTCAATTGCCTTTAGGTCCATCAAACTATTTATTTATGTTCTCCTTGAATTTATTCAGGTATTATACTTGTATTCTTTTTTTTTGGTTGGTCGTGGGGCTTGAACTCTGGGCTTGGGCACTGTCCCTGCGCTCTTCAGCTCAAGGTGAGCACTCTACTGCTTGAGCCACAGTGCCACTTCTGGTTTTCTAGTGATTTTATTGGAGATAAGAGTCTTACGGACTTTCCTGCCCGGGCTGGCTTTGAACTGTGGTCCTCAGATCTCAGCCTCCTGAGTAGCTAGGATTACAGGCGTGAGCCACCGGCGCCCGGCTATCCTTGTATATTCTTGTGTGTATGTGTGAGTATGTGTGTACTAGTACTGGGGTTTGAAATCAGGTCTGGGTGCTGTCCCTTAGCTTTTTTGCTCAAGGTTGGCATTCTACCACTTTAGCCACAGATCTTCTGGCTTTTGAGGAGATTATTGGAGATAGGAGTCTTAATGGACTTTCCTGCCTACAGTTGGCTTCAAACTACAATCTTCAGATCTCAGCCTCCTAAGTAGGATTTAGTCATGCCACTGTGCTGGGCTATATTTGTCTTCTTTCATTATTTATTTATTTATTCTTATTATGCTTTGAGTTCATTGTTTGAAATTTTATCTACTGTTGTTCAGGTTTCTTTGTTTTTGTATTTTTATTTGCATATATTAGCTTACCCAGTCCTTTATTAAGAAATTGTTTACTTTTCAAGGAGACAGGTTTCCTGTTTTCTGTGTTGTGGGGTTTCTGTGTTGGAACTTATACATCAGAGACTACGGCTGGACTTGCCTGTCGTCTTTCAGTTGAAATAGTGTCAGTGTCCATTTCAGGGTGCTGACATTTGCCCCTGGGAACGGCATCCTCATAGGACTGCTGCTGGTCAGGATGGAGGGCCCAAGGCCAGGCCCTCTGTGCATGACCCTCATAGGACTGCTGGTGGTCAGGGTGGAGGGCCCAAGGCCAGGCCCTCTGCGCGATCCTCATAGGACTGCTGGTGGTCAGGGTGGAGGGCCCAAGGCCAGGCCCTCTGCGCGTACTCTCTCCCACAGTTGCCACCTCGACAAATGGAAGTCACCTGGAGGGGGTCTGTGAGCACCGAGACCCGCAGGCGGGGCCAAGCAGCCCCGCCGGTTCTTCCCCAGCTTACCCTGCTCTGATGCAATTTAAAAACAAAACACAGAACACCCGGAGGCTTGTCCCCTGGGGACAAACCACTGAGCTGGTGGAGCTAGTGGGAACCTGCACACCCCACAGGCTGTAACTTCGGGTAGTGACTAGTGACTAGTGACGGCTGCCTGTGTCTGTGTCACGGCTGCTGTAGTAAGCACAGCCCGGAAGCAGACAGCTGACACTTGTACGTGAGAATCGTTAGTTTACCATGATCTGAATAGCGCTGGGGAATCAGGCCCAGGACCCTGAGCACTGCCTCCAGTGGCGAGAAATACTGCCTTAAGCTAGCCACGTGGGTTGTTGGGAGTGTCCTCATCAGGACACACCTGATGCCTGCATGTTGTTTCTCTTTGTGGTGTTCCCAGCCTTTGACACTTTGCAGAGTTATGGATCCCAGCCCCTCTCTCCTCTATGGGTTGAGCCACCCCTAGCCCTTTTTGTTTGTTTGTTTACTTATTTATTTATTTTTGGGTCTGGTCGTGGGGCCTGAACTCTGGGCCTGGGCGCTGTCCCTCAGCTCTTCAGCTCAATGCTAGCGCTCTACCACTTGAGCCACAGCGCCACTTCCGGCTTTTTTCTTTTTGCGTATGTGGTGCTGAGGAATCGAACCCAGGGCCTCAGGCATGCAAGGCAAGCGCTCTACCACTGAGCCACCTAACCAGCCCTGCTAGCCCTTTTTGTTTTAGTTATTTTTATAATATTTCAAGCTTATGCTCTGAATCACAGTTCTTGTTAATCCTGTTTATACTTCCTGCATAGCTGGGAGGACCACTAGGCCCAGGGATCGGGTGAGATAGGGTCCCTGACTACTTTTTTGTTTTCAGGAGGCAGTTTCATTATGTAGCCAAGTTGGCTGTGAGCATAGGAAGCTGTCCTTGCTGAGTTTTGTGAATGCAGAGGTTGCAGATACCTGCCATCTCTAGTATTTTGCTTCTTGTCAGTCTTCTTTTTATTTATTAGCAGGAATTATTTTCTAAAAAGAAAATTTCCTTAATTAATTGATTATAAAAGGTACACTTGGGTTGAAGAAGGCAGGATAAATGCTTGATGTTTGTTCTTTCTTGGTTATCAGTCTTCATATTGTTTGTTTTGTGGTATTGTCTAAAGGTGATCCGTGAGCTGTCTTTTGCTTAACCATCATTTTGAAGTCATATCTTTGAAAGTACTTGATTTGGTTTTGATCCCTTGGAGGTATAATTACTCTAACATCTGAATGTGCCGCCCTCGACCATTGGGAGCCAGTGGAGTTTGTTTCTGATTGCTGGCTGTGAGACATGCCAAGGTCGTCCTGTTCATGCTCTGCCCGACTCCTCGAGAGAAATTCTCAGTAGAGATAGTGCTCTGGGCGGTGGACCTCGTTGTAGCAGGATGCCCAAGCCTGCAGTGTTCATGGATTTGTTCAACATGCTTTTTTCAAGGCACTTCCCACAAACTTCTAGTCTATGCTTTATCCCCTTCCCCACTCTTTAGTTAGCAAGTGAAAGCTATGAAATAAGGTAATAGAAATGCAAGGCATTAAAATGGGTGCTATTTCCTATTATTTTGAGATTTGGGGATGTTAAAATATTTTCTTTCTTGAAGTCATAACTATAATATGGCAAATAGCATTTAGCATTAACACAAGAAAATAATTCTTAACTGGAAGAGCATTATCTTTATGACCTGAATTTGTAGTCTCTACCACATTTTGTCAAATAATGTGTACTCTCTTCTTTTACTTAGGTTTTATGACATAGGGACTCAGTTTGTATCCCAGCCTGGCCTTGAATTTATAGTCCTTCATAAGTTCCAGATTACAGGCATTTACTAGTATGCCTGGGTGATAGTGCATACTTGTTTTTTTTTTTTGTCGGTCGTGGGGCTTGAACTCTGGGCCTGGGCACTGTCCCTCAGCTCTTCAGCTCAAGGTGAGCGCTCTACCACTTGAGCTACAGTGCCACTGTTAGTGCATACTTAAAACAACATTTAAAATCTTTATGGAAGTTCATCTTTGAATCTCATATGGACTACACAATGCTTGCAGTTGATAGTTGGTGGTTTCTGGGTCATACCATCTATTTGTTATAAATTATCTAGTAGTGATAGTACACACAAACTTGTATTTACCCAGAAATAGTTCAAGTTCTTGAAGCCAAGTCTTCTGACCACAGTATTTTACAGGATTCCTGTGGACAAGAAATTAATGTATTTCACGGAATGTTTACATCTTTAAAGAAGAGCTTGTATATTAGGAATGCTTTAAAAAGAAAGTATTTGCATAAATATTATGTGTGCATAGCTTATAATTTTGAACATTTATTCTACTGTTGGAAGGTATTTTAGCCTGAATAAGAGTTTTTCTGAAGCTGGGTACTAGTGGCTCATGCTTGTAATCCTAGCTACTCAGGAAGCTGAAATCTGAGTGAGAACTGTGGTTCAAAGCCAGTTTGGGCAGGAAATTTTATGAGGCTCTTGTCTGCAATTAACCATCAAAAAACCAGAAATGGAACTGTGGCTCAAATGGTAGAACACCAGCCTTGAGCAAAAAAAGCTCCAGGATAGCACCTAGGTCCTTAGTTCAAGCCCCAGGACCGGCCCCCATGCTTGCTATTGGTGAAATTGATTCCCAGGAACACACTTCCTGTGCTTTGATGCTCATGGTTTTCTCCACTTGGGTGTGTTACAGGCACTGACTTTGATACTGACAGCAGTATTTCATTCTCTTGTATGTAACAGTTAACTCGTTCACCTTCTCGTCCACTCAGCAGTGAGGATTCCCTGTTGCCTGTCTGTTTTCAGGAGGCCCTGGTCGCTGTTCGGCTTCTGGATGTCCTGTGTGAGATGACTGCCAACACCGAGCTGCTTGGCTACCTGCAGGTGTTCCCCTGTTTGCTTGAACGAGCGATTGGTAAGCGAAGCAGGCCATGTGGCCGTTTTAGTTAAGAAGCCTTTGACTTGTAAGTCTGAACGTGGACTTCTTCCCTCCCTCCCTCCCTCCCTCCCTCCCTCCCGCCCTCTTTCCTCCCTCCCTCCCTCCCTCCCGCCCCCCCCCCTCTCTTTCTCTCTCTCTCCTTTTTCAATATAGTTTGGAGATCCCCCCCCTTTTAAATAAAATTTTGTTGTTATTGCTGAAGTGTTGTAGAGAGTGGCTGCCATTTCACAGATCAGGTAATGAGTGCCATTCTTTTGGACAGGGTCACCACTTTCCTCACTTGCCCCCAGTTTAGCTTAGGATGGCTGGATGAAAGTATAAGTACGCACCGCCTTGCCTCTTACTGTTGAGACTTTTTGAAAATTTTTGTCTTAAATGGGTTTAATGTGGTCGTGGCAACAGCTCAAGGTGGTTAACCTGAAGCACATTATAGCTCTGCCCTTTTCCTTCTGTTGAACTTCATATAAACAATGAAAATAAATTAGACTTGTTTATGTGACACTACTGCCAGATACCAAACACGATTTTCTTATGGAAATGAGGCCTACTCTTTTTTTCTCTAGATCTTTTACGACTGATTCACATAGCTGGAAAAGACAGCACGAACATCTTCAGTACTTTGAGTAACATAAAAGCAGAAGGTGATGTCTCCAACATGGCTGAGGGTTTTAAGTCTCATCTCATTCGTCTGATTGGCAATCTCTGTTACAAGAATAGAGACAACCAAGACAAGGTATGTGTCATACATGTGTGGCTTCATTTACAATTTAGAATATATTCATTTTTTTTTTAGAATGAAGAGTTGAGGGGCTTCAGCAGTAGATTGAAAAGAGAATAGATTGGGAAGAGCTCTCTCTCTATGTACACCTATGTGTGTATGTATAAAACGTGAGATATATAATGTATGTACTATTTTTTCTTTTTCTTTTCTTTCTTTTTTTTTTGCAAGTCCTGGGGCTTGAACTCAGGGCTTGGGCACTGTACCTAAGCCTCTCTGTGCACTCTACCACTTGAGATACAGTGCCGCTGCCAGCTTTTTCTGTTTATATGGTGCTGAGGAATCGAGCCCAGGGCTTCATATATGCTAGGCAAGCACTCTACCACTCACTAAGCCAGATTCCCAGCCCATATACTGTGTTTTCCCCACAAGTAAACAATGTTGTTTATTTGTATTGAGCTCTTTATTTATATAGTTTTGCAAATATTTAAGACAGTCTTCTTGTAAATTGTCATTTTTTTAGAATGCTTGTGTATGTATTTAAACACTAATATATCATAACCAGTCAGCTAAAAAAAAATTAACAAATCTAGAAAACTTTGTAGTAGACATTGAAGTAACACTAGTTACATTGACCATTATTGTAAAAAACAAAAATCCTTTGACTTCTATCTGCACCCTACTTTGATAGGTGATAGCATCATAGCCTTTTCTTATATATATGTTGGTGTGGATATGTATTTAAGTATTTGGAAACTCTGTAGATTGCTTTTAGAAATCTCTCATATTGAACAGCAAAGAAGTGTACTCATAATCTGAGTGGTGACAGACTTGCAGGAAGATTGGATCATGTGTTCTTGTTTTCCTGAAGTTTGATTTGGGGTAGGATTTGTTTTCTTATTTAAATATGTAGTGTGAGGCAGATTATATTTCCCAAGAAGTCTAAAGAAACACATGTCATTTTATGTATGTTTCTACATTGTGAATTTGCCACTCCCTCATTAAGGGTTGGCATCCATTTTCCATCCCTTTGATCTCTTCGGCCCTCGGGATTGACTGCTTGAACAGCAAAGTGTGGCAGGAGGGATCCTGTGCCATTTCTCTCATTGCCCTTGATTGGTCTTGCAGTAACCATTTGTAGCTTCTGAGAAGCCAGTCACCATGTACAAAGTGCTCATCTCCTAAGATGCTTGCTGTGGCTTGGTGAGCCCGCATGGAGCAGCCCTGGGAGGCTAGTTGAGGAATGTCACTGCACCAGACTCATGTCTTTGCATAGGTCCAGCCTTGGTTCTTCACTTGCCTAGCTGGTGCTGTGCAGATCAGGCAGAGCCTTTTCTGAATTCATTTCTCACAGCATTGTGAGAAAAACTGAAGAACTGGGGAAAAAAAAAACCCAAAATAGTGTAATTTTTCTTCTGTTCATAGCCAGGATGCTACTGTAGGACTTGTAATTTATAAATTCTGGAGGAAAGAGAACTCTGTGAAGGTGAATACTCAGATACAATCAGGAAGATTCTGAAGTGAAATTGACACAAATACTTGTGATACTACACTATCAGTTCTCCTTAAACCAATCAGCATTTTTTTTTTTTAAATTTGGAAGTGTTTATAAAGGAACGAGAGTCCACGGTGTTTCCAAGAGACAGAAGAAAAGTCCCTCTGCTGGCGGCAAGGCCTGTTAGGCCTTATGCCATGGAACGGGGGCTCTGCCTCTGGGAATACTTCTATTGTTGTTGTTCCGGTTCTCTGGCTTGAACTCAGGGCAGGGGGGCTGACCTTGAGCTCCCCCCCCCCCCCTTTCTCAAAGCTAAACACTTTTTGTTGTTGTCTTTTTTTAATTCCAAATATTTATTTAGAGGGGAAAAGTACATCCACTTCTATCAATTCAGGAAATGACCTGAAAAAGCTTGGTGGTCTTTCTGCTGTTCCACATGTTCTGTGTCATGATTTCATAGGGAATTCTGACTTGGTTGGTCCTCACAAAGTGTGCTTGTTGGGTGGAGTGGGCTGATGCTTAGCTGAACCTGGCTTCGTTTCTCTTTGGCTTCCTTCCTTTTCTGATGATCTTCCTTCATGCGTTTCAGGAAGCTTGATGTGCTCAGTACACACATTGATTCTCTTGGCAAGAATGTCTTCCCTAATTTGCTTGTTTACAGCAGTGCCAACAGCATGCTGGGTAGAATCTTGGTTTTACCATGGCAACATTTGTAAGGCATTTCTATTTGAACAGTACCATTCCTTTGATGTTTGTGGAGTCGAATGTATGTGGCCAAAGGACCACCTCTGTGTTTTCTGAAAGGCATAGGGAATATATATTGGGCACCTTTCCTTTTTTTCCAGTGTTTTCCCATGTGTGTGTCATTTTGGCACATTTCTGGAAGATATGTCTTCCAAAAGGGCATGTCAGTGTATTATGGGATTCAGAGCTTCCACAACGTAGGATATACACTAAAATAGTTTGATACACAGGAACATGGTTCTGTTCTCAAGAGAATAGGTAATTGAAGAAAGCTGACTGTAAGATCACGCAGATGCTGACAGTGATTTTAAAACAATAGTTAAAACTACACTCAAGGAAGTAGAGGAAAATACAAATCCTGTGAATGAGAACAAAGGACATTTCAAGCCAGGCATGGAGGTACATGTCTGTAATTTCATCACTTGAGAGGCTGAGATAGGAAGGATGCATTTGCTGTCACCCTGGGCTGCACAGTAAGACCCTCCTCTCACCCTCCCACACAAGGAGAAGAAGAAAAGTCTCAGCAGATACAGAAACTAAGCACAGAACCAATGGACGTTCTAGAACGGAAGGATTTCTGTGTGTGCCTGAACAATGGCCTCGGCATGTCAGTTGATTTTCCTGGAGATGTTAGTAGACACCAGCCTGAAAACAAGGCCAGCAGTGACAGCAAACACACAGAAAGGCAGGTGGTCGGTCGTTGGTGCTTTGTGAAGTAGTAGTCTGTGTAGTAGGACACAAAACAGAAGTCACTGTGTACACTGTGTACATGTCATGAGTTGTGTGTGTGGAACTGTAAGCAGTCACCAGACCTCCTTTACCAAGTGGTGCAGGGAGGTGCTCTGTGATCCTGCGGACTCTCCTCTGACGGCTTTTGTATTCCACCCGCGCAGCTAGCATTGCTCTGCTGAGGCTGTAGTGATTTGCTTACCTTGTGAGCCTCTGTGGATGTGGATGGAGATTCTGTTGTGGTCTCTATGGTAGGACACATGGGTATTAATCTGTAAACATGAGGAAAGCATTCTTTGGTTTCCTTATTAGAATAAGAAATGTCTAGGTTACCTCCTTCTTCCTCATTCCTCTGTTCTTCAATATTGTCCTTACTATAAATGAAAGCTTTATTTAAAGAAACACCAAACATCGTTTTATTTCAAAGAGCCAGTGCATCATTTGAAGTGGACAGGCAGATGATCAGGCTACTCTGCTTTCCTTTCCACTCACTAAGTTGGGTGTGTGCTTGTTCATGTCCATTCTGCTGTGGGCTTGCTGGCCGTGTGGTTTAGGCCTCCCTTCCTCCTCCTCTTCCACGTCCCCTGCCCAGCCTTCACACCTGTGACCCCGGGTTTACTCTTCTGCACATAGAAACTTAAATTACAAGCGTCCCTTCACTGAGGAATGTGTGGGCACCAAGTGGACACATGAGCGCGTGAGGCTGGCGGCCTCCCTCTGCCCCTCCTGTAGGAGACATGAAAGTGTTTGCAAATACAGTTTACATTTCTTTTCTTTTGTGTTGTTGTTGTTCATGGGGCTTGAACTCTGGGCTTGGGCGCCATCCCTGTGCTCTTCAGCTCAAGACGAGCGCTCTACCGCTTGAGCTACAGCGCCACTTCTGGTTTTCTAGTGGTTTATTGGAGATAAGAGTCTCACGGAGGGCTGGGAAGGTGGCTCAGTGTAGAGCGCTTGCCTTGCATGCCTGAGGCCCTGGGTCGATTCCTCAGCACCACATAAGCAAAGAAAAAAAGCCGGAAGTGGCGCTGTGGCTCAAGTGGTAGAGCACCAGCCTTGAGCTGAAGAGCTGAGGGACAGCGCCCAGGCCCAGGGTTCAGGCCCCACGACCGGACCCCCCCCCCCCCCCCCAAAAAAAAAAAAGAGTCTCACGGACTTTCCTGCCCGGGCTGGCTTTGAACTTGATCCTCAGATCTCAGCCTCCTGAGTAGCTAGGATTATACGCGTGAGCCACTGGCACCCAGTTTTATTTTATATTTCTTTTGTACACAGTAAAGCACTTAATTTTTGTTGAATGACTATATTTATTATTATTACTGTTATTTGTGGGGAGAGCTTTTTTTTTTTTGTTCAAGACTACTGCTCTACCAGTTGAGCCATACCTCCACTTCTGGCTTTTTTTGTCTTGGTGGTTAATTGGAGATAAGGGCCTCATGGACTTTCTTGCGAGGGCAGGCTTTGAACTGTGATCCTCAGGTCTCAGCCTCCTGAGTAGTTAGCACCCATGGTGATGATTATTGTTATCTAGTGAAGACTATTAAAACCAAAATGACTTTTCATGTGAAGGTTGAAATTTCTCTAAATTCTGGATTCTGTAATAATTTTTGAAAGTCTTATGATTGATATACTTTATATGTATAACTGGCTATTTTTTATTTACTTATTTATTGCGATAAGGTCTAGTTTTATAGCCCAGACTGGCCTCAAACTCAGGATCTTCTGTTTCCAGCGTGCTGGGTTCCCAGTATGGCTCTCATTTACTATTTTCATTTGATTAACCCAGTTTATCTGCATTTTAGATTCTAAGAGCATATAATATTCTCAAATAATTAAAAAAATGGAAATCTCAAGTTTAGTCTGTATAGTTCTGAATATAGTTTTTTCCATTTTCTAAATTTTTCTAAAGTTTTAGAATAAATTTCACTTACTGAGATTGATGAGGTGGTTATTTGTAGTGCGTTGCTGGGGGGGAGGCGGGGGTAGGAATGCCAGTCATATCTACACCTGAGGAGCCCAGAGCAGGTGAGCTGTTAATGCCTTCTTAGTGATT